AATTGGGATCAACCAAATCAGCGAGTCTGGCCTCTTACGACAAGCATAGTCGCCTTTTTCGACAAGCATGGATGGCTGAAGACCTATTTTACCCCGGATCTTCACGGGTCTGGACAACACCATTTTGTTTACTTTTGTGGTTAGACGAGCAAATGTCTGGCGGGATCTGAGCTGCCTGATCGACCGCTTGATCGTGCTGCTCGAAACCTGGCCCACGGAAATCGCGAAAGAGAGTCTGCAATTATGTTTGCCTGGGATGGTATATGGGTCATTCCCTAATTACAGAAACGGGCTCCGTCCGTCCGTACATCCATACGTCACGTTTCGTTTCCGGAGCATAAGTCAGAAACCGTTCAATATTTTTTCATCAAACTTTGCAGGTCTGTCAAGTACATGCTGACCTGGTGCCTTTTGCTATTTAGAAATTTTAGGATTTTTTATTTTTTACGGTTCCATGGCAACAAGATGGACTTAGGTTCTTTGAGGGTAGGGTTCGTTTCCGGAGCATAACTCATAAACTGTTCAATATATTTTCATCAAACTTTGCAGGTTTGTCAGGTACATGCTGAACTGGTGCCTTTTGCTATTTAGAAATTTTAGAAATATTTATTTCTTACGTTTCCATGGCAACAAGATGGACTTAGGTTCCAAACTCTTCTTTTTTTTACAATTTCCATGACAAGTTCAACCTCGGATAAAAAAAGGTTAGGAATTGTTTAGATTTAATTATGTCATAAATTCTGCAACAGGGGCGGGGGATATAGCCACGTTAGTAGCAAACTCTTGTTATGTAACATTTTGGCCTATGAAAAAACTACAAATCTGAAATGTTTTTATCGAGCAGATAAACAACATAACAATTACTGAATACAAGGGTAAAGCGTGCAGGCTTAATGTGTCTTATTTTCCTTTTTGCATCTCTGTAAAAAAATGTCTGTTGTTACCTTGCATAAAATTTAGTTTTTGTCACAAAAAAATAAATATAAAATGAATAAAATATATGATATGGTTGTTGCATTTTGGCATAGTTCAAATACCAACAGCTATAACATTTCATTTATTGGTTTTACTAAATTATTAGACTGTAAATATATGCATACTATGGAAGTATTTGCAGAAAGATATACGGTAAACTTGTCTGCTGCTTACATTATTCTATAAGGTAATAATAGTTATTAAACTCATTTTATTAATTATACATTTATTTGTCAGCAGAGTTGAAACAATAATTACTTTGGAGATGGCAGAAACCTGGTGACACGAAAGACAACATGGTAACAGGAAAGGCAAAATATTTTGTAATTGCCAAAACTATAATAACTATTTCTGTGTTGGTAGTTTCAGAAACAAAGGTAGTTAAAATATGGAAACTCAATGAATGTACATATCAAAGTGTTAGGTTTAATTTGTATGAGACACTAGTTAAATAAAATCGGTTTGGTAACAGCACAGACAGACAAAAATTTATAAACAAATCTTATGTGGCATTGCTCATCTCAAAAATAGAACTTGATCAGAAAGTATACCAACAACCTTAATAACACTTCTTTAGGTTAATGTTACTTATGCCAAGCAAAAACCTGTAAGGAAATGAGAATAGTCAACTTTCAAAACTGCAATAGTAACAGCACAGACAAAGTCTGATAACAAATTTGCACTTTTACCAAATAATAGCATTATAACTTCTTTGATAGGCATTTAGAAGTTGGAGTACTAAGTAAGGATAAGAATTTATGGATGAACAACTTCTTTATAACAATTAAATAGAGACGTTTCGGTGTAGGTTCTAACACCGTCACTCTTAAATTGTAATAAAGAAGTTGTTCATCCATAAATTCTTATCCTTACTTAATAGCATTATATGAGAACATTCAGTAAATCATTCATGTGCACATATAAACACAGGTTATTGTTTGCCATGAATTGTTTCCAAAATATCTTCCCACAAAGAAGGACCAACACAATAGTGAGAGGACAGTGATATTTTGGAAGGCTCTGGTATCAAGCTAACAATGTCCTCAAAATGGTACCAGCATTTATCTTTGATTTGCATTCCACTGCTTTCACACTTTACGCATACATTCCTCAAAAACTTCATCTGACTCTATATCATCAACATAACCAGGATATGGTATGTTATCATACATAACAACAACAAATTTCACCAGGCATTCATTTATCTCAACTGGCTGATGTATTTCCTTTTGTCTTTCCATCTTATCTTTGTCTGAACTTTGTACTATTTCCTTGTCTCTTGGTAAATCTCATCATCATTCAGACTCTCCATTCTGTCAGCACACACCTCCACTTCTCTCTTTCCCCCACTCTGACTCTCCATTCCGTCAGCACACACCTCCACTTCTCTCTTTCCCCCACTCTGACTCTCCATTCCGTCAGCACACACCTCCACTTCTCTCTTTCCCCCACTCTGACTCTCCATTCTGTCAGCACACACCTCCACTTCTCTCTTTCCCCGACTCTGACTCTCCATTCCGTCAGCACACACCTCCACTTCTCTCTTTCCCCCACTCTGACTCTCCATTCCGTCAGCACACACCTCCACTTCTCTCTTTCCCCCACTCTGACTCTCCATTCCGTCAGCACACACCTCCACTTCTCTCTTTCCCCCACTCAGACTCTCCATTCTGTCAGTATAGTACACACCTCCACTTCTCTCTTTCCCCCACTAAAACTCTCCATTCCGTCAGCACACACCTCCACTTCTCTCTTTCCCCCACTCAGACTCTCCATTCTGTCAGTATAGTACACACCTCCACTTCTCTCTTTCCCCCACTCAGACTCTCCATTCTGTCAGTATAGTACACACCTCCACTTCTCTCTTTCCCCCACTCAAACTCTCCATTCCGTCAGCACACACCTCCACTTCTCTCTTTCCCCCACTCAAACTCTCCATTCCGTCAGCACACACCTCCACTTCTCTCTTTCCCCCACTCGACCCGTGAAGATTCCGGGGTAGAATAGGTCTTTGAATTAAACCTTGGAACTGATAACCATAAGACTTACAAACACTCGATTTTCCACCAAACTTTGACACAACTTCACTTGATTGTCACCCACTACTAATTTACTTTATAAAAGACCGGTTGCTAAGCATCAAGGTCAGTTAACTCTAATCCTCACAGCCGCCTCCGTGGTCTTGTGGTTGAGCGTCCGACCGGAGAGCGGAAGGTCCGGGGTTCGATCCCCGGCCGCGTCATACCAAAAGACGTTAAAAGATGGTACTTGTTGTTACCCTGTCTGGCGCTCGACATTAAGGGGCTAAAACAAGGACTGGTCGGCTCGGAGTCAGTATACTGTGTCTGAGTGGGGTATTCATGTTAAACTGCGGCATGGTATCTCAGTGAGCTAGCACTATAAATCGGCATCAGTCCGGACTAGTACAAGCAGCCACAGACACACACGTGCATGCCCGTCGCTATATAAGTGCAATAATCTTGGACGCGACGTTAAACCCAATTTCACCTCACCTCTAATCCTCACACGGCTGCGGTCGCGTGTTTCGATGACTCACTCGCATGATATGGTAAATACAATCGAAACTATCGATATTCTTAACTAGAATCAATACTATTGATCAGAAACCGATTTAACAATCGATTTATTGACTTTAAGTGCTTACCAATAACATGTTAAAGGTGACTATGCTTGTCGTAAAGAGCGACTAACGGGATCGGGTGGTCAGGCTCGCTGACTTGGTTAATGCATGTCATCGATCCCAATTGCGTGGATCGATGCTCATGGTATTATTGACTGGATTTTCTGGTCCAGACTCGATTATTTACAGACCGCCGTCATATAGCTGGAATATTGCCGAGTGCGGCGTTAAACATCAAACCAACCAACCAAAGCTTACCAATAGCAGTATATATAAATATTTCGATTTATCCTGACACCCCTATTGCTTATGAACATGAAAGTAAATGGGGGAATACATGTGCGAGGTGACTTTTGCCTGTAAAAAGTAGAAAAACTTATAGAGTGAATTAATGGTTGGATATAGAATAAATGCGAATTACTGCTAAATGTTAGTAATGACATTTGCATGGCTGGCGAGTAAGAGTTCCTGTACATAATCGGCAATCCAGTGGGTGATGGTATGAGCAACGACCAAGCCGTCCAGGTACGCCCCTTGAAGATCCGGGGTAGAACAGATATTCAGCAACCCATTCTTACCATACTAGGCGACTTGGCTTGTCGTAAGAGACCACTAACGGGATCGGCTGGTCAGGCTTACTGACTTGGTTGATGCATGTCATCGTATCTCAATTGCGTGGATCGATGCTCATGATATCCATCACTGAATTGTCTAGCCCAAGCTCGATTATTTACAGACCGCCATCATATAGCTGGAATATTGTTGAGAGCGGCGGTAAACAAACAAACAAACAATCGGCAAACCACTTGTTGATGGTACGGGCAACGAAGTTGGCGGGGGATATAGAAATGGGTTCCGTGTGTGTGTGTGTGTGTGTGTGTGTGTGTGTGTGTGTGTGTGCGCGCGCGCGTCTCGAAATCGTTTCCGGAGCATAACTCAGAAACCGTTAAATATTTCTCTACGAAACTTTGCATGTCTATCAGACTCATGCTGAACTGGAGCCTTTTTGATTACGTTTCCATGGCAACAAGTTGGACTTAGGTTCTATAAGATGGTGTTCGTTTCCGGAGCGTAACTCAAAAACCGTTAAATACTTTCTTACAAAACTTAAACTGGTGCCATTTGATATTAAGGAGTTTTAGAAATGTATTTTAGAATTTCCATTGCAGCTATTTTGACATGGGCTAAGCGAAATGTTGGGTCAGTTACCTGGTTTGGGACCATAGCGTGTTAACATTGGCTTGGGGATATAGATGACTTCGTCGGCTATACATTTGTTCAACATAATAATGAAGTGAAATACTAATCCTCTTAAATCTTATTGCAGAATATATTTATAGATTGATTAACACAAACAAACATCAAATGCATTTCTCTTTCACAGAATATATGGATCAGCGTGGACGAGAGTTTCTACTTGGATTTCCGCTCTGGCCTAATGCGTCCCAAAGTGGCTCAGTTCGACTGCATGTACGAGGGCCGAAATACACCAACCTTACAATTGAAATGGTCGGGTCCGGGGAAATTAACAATTATACCATTGGGCTTTCAGAAAATCTCACAATCCACCTACCGACAAATGTTGAATACAATGGATCAGAAACACCTCATAATAATAGTGTCCGAGTTTTGAGCACTGCTGAAATATATGTTTATGTCATTCGTGGAGTTTCGGGGGCTTATTTTGCAGTACCAAAACTGTCACACTGGTCAAAAAAATTCTACGTTGTGTCCCACTCTCCATCAGGTGGTGGATACTCCTACTTTTCTATCATAGGGTATGAAGAAGCAAACGTCGAGATTATTTTCAGAACGGAACTAAACTGTGGGTCACTCTCCATAACTCCTCACGTACCAATACGTGTTAGAATCTTGCCCATGCAAATGTGGAGTATATACTGTTCTCAAGATTTGACAGGAACGTACATTAAAAGCCCAAAGCCAATATCCGTCCTCTCTGGTACAACCTTTCCGGAAGCTGCGTATGGGGGGAAATTTGTAGAAGAAATGTTACTACCTAAAGGTTTCTTTGGGAGCAACTTTGTTCTTCCAACCATTTCAGGTGAAACTGCGGTTTTGAGAATCGTCGCATCAGAAAATGATACGGCCATATACGCTGAGGGGGGCCTATATTGTTATATGGGAGCTGGTGACTACGTGGATGTGGTCACGGACGACGAAGATGTGCACTGTCTTAAAGGCACACGTCCAATCCAGGTAGTGTTGTTAGGGAAGCGAGCAAATGGCAGCTCCCACAGTGTGGATGGCTTTCAAGGGGAGCTGGTCATGGCAGCCGTACCTCCTGTTGAACGTTTTCAGATTCACGACAAAATTGATATATTTTCTGTTGCTGGTGATGGACTTATTAGCCAGGTGATGTTTTTCTTTGAAAATGACACTGACATCGAGATTGGAGGAACTGCAAGTTCTTTCTTTGAATATTCTGAATGTTGTAACCATGTGATATCCTACTTAGTGGATAGTCAACAGACCATGCTGGTCATGCCAAAGAACTTCTCTGTTGGAGTCATGCAGCTGGCTACTTCCGGGAGCAAAGGATTCGGGCTGACGATGGGGTGGTCTTTTGGTGAGTTTTCAATCTGAGCTATACACATGCATAACTTTACATCTTATGTAGTGAGTGAGTGAGTGAGTATGGTTTTACGCCCTTTTAGCAACATTCCAGCAATGGGGACGGCAATGGGTGTCACGGCAGGGGACACCAGAAATGGGCTTCACACATTGTACCCATGACGGGATTTGAACCCGGGTCATCGGCGTGACGAGCGAACGCTTTAACCACTAGGCTACTCGACCGCCCCTAACAGCTGATGAAAATGAACGTACAATAACAATACAACAATTGAATAAGGGAAATGACTAAGGCATTTTGAAAAAAACATTATTACAAATACAACAGAACATATTCTGTACAAAAGAATCAAATTTGACATAATTCTCGACAGCTATTATCAATTTTATGGTGTGTACATCAGATGTGTCTGTTTTTCAGATCCTCCATTTTGTCCCAGGAGATCTGGATTCACGTACTTCAACACCTCAGGGCTCTGTATTAAGGCATTCACCAAACCGGCCACGTGGATGGAGGCCCGTACCTTATGTTGGGATCAGAGGTTACGCCTCGTTGCTCTTGACACACAGGCTAAGATCGACAGCATCAAACAATCCCTGAATGACAAGCTTAGCGGTGTGTATCATAATGAGATTCAGTCACGTTTTGTGTTCGTATTTGATCCAGCTTTTGCAGGTGTAGAGGAGAACAATATTTTCTCTGTGAGTAAGATTTCCAATCAGAGAACGTTTTTCAAAATCAACATCCAGGTTCTGCCGAATTAAACCCTACAGAGCTTTTAAAGCATCACGATGCCAGGTGGTTCAAGGATTTCCTGCACATTATTTTAACCTTATAGCTCCGCTAAATATGCCTTGATCAAGTTCAAAACGCATACATCAACACTCACCATAACGTAGCATCCACTGGCCAGATTTGCTAGTTGCTACTGGCATCAAAATCGGCATGTTCTATGAACTTAAATGATAATTGTCAAAAGTTTAAATATTTCAGAACACTTATCACCCGATATTGGATTGGTGGAATTGATGCTAAACTTAAACCACAAACTTCGCCCTTATTTCCAAAACACACTATTGTGAACTATATTCGATGTCTGGAAAATATGGACAAAATATAGATATTAAAAATAACACTATTTCTCCACAGAACACTCGTTTTCAATTGGTCTGCACGCGTTCTCGGTGCTGTTTAACATGAACGCGTACAAGTGGATCGACGGGGGATCTCTTGGTAATGCTCAGGACTGGCTGCCGCAGCAACCACATAACTTCAGTTCGTGTGTCCGGTTGACCTCAAAGGACAAGAACGTTGGGTGGGAGAGCGTCCTTTGTGACGTTACATCCGGCTATGTCTGTGAGATGGTGCTAGCACAGACACAAGATGTCCAACTTTTTTCGGGAGAATGCCAGTGTACGTACATAATATTTGCATAATATTACCCATGTAGTGTTTGTTTGTTTGTTGTTTAAGGCCGCACTCAGTATTATTCCAGCTATATGACGGCGGTCTGTAAATAATCGAGTCTGGACCAGACAATCCAGCGATTTACATCATGAGCACCGATCCACACAATTGGGATACGATGACATGCAGCAACCCAGGCTTGTAAGAGGAGACAGGCTAGGTCAGAACGGTTGACGCAGTCGATGGCGTGTGATCGTATAACAACGGCGTGGGACGTTCCGATAATATAGATCACTTGTTTGTCTGGTCCAAATCCGTCATGTACATGAATATTGCAGAGTGCATTAAAGAACACACAAACAATTAGATTTATTTTTGCTCGTTGAATGTCAATTCAAAATGATGACATAGGACGTTATGATACTCACCTGAAATGGGGCCGATGCGAAGATAAATGTTAACTCGCTCACAGATAGTCACTTCTGTCATGCTCAATATACAACTGCTACTGTCAGGTATGCACACTATGAAAGTCCATGTAGTATATTTTATGCAAGTCTATATGTAAATACCTATGTTACTAGACTCCCACCCAGGATGCCCCACGGCTGACGGTTACACCTACATATACGAGGCCGAGCTCTGTGTCAAGCATCACCCTCAGCCCAAGACGTGGATCAACGCTGCTGCTGCGTGTCGTGCTGATGGAGACCGCCTCGTCACGGTGGACAGTGACTCGAAACAACACTATCTGCACAGAGTATATCGACATATTTGTGAGTTCAATATGTCATGGTCCAGTATATTACCATCAAGATAATTAAGGTTAACAAACAAAAGTATTACTCAGTATTTAGTATTATCATGTAACGAGCGACCTGTGAAGATCCGGAGTAGAAGAAGTATTCAGCAACACATGCTTTCCGTAAAAGGCCACTAACGGTATCGGGTGGTCAGGCTCACTGGCTTGGTTGATTGATACATGTCAGTCAATCTTTATTCATGGTACTGATGCGACCAAAGCTATATAGTACATTGTCTGGGGCGTGTTACAAATTCACACATTTTCTTAGTTTCATAGCATGATACCTGGACATTGATCACTTTCTCATAGTTTCTGTACAATCACAAGTCATTAATTTACAAAAAAATTGTTACCGTTTGGGTTGTGGTAGAAATTGCTATTTAGATATTTTGCTCTTAAATCATAATACACTGGTGATACACATAAAAAATGATAATCATCTTCAATTGATTAACTTGACCCAGTATTTAATAAACTTTAAAAAACTATTGATATGCATGGGAAACTTTCCGCATTCACCATATACCCTTGAGTTTTCTGTGCTAGATTCTACACCCAAGAACTTTTTACATGCATATAAACGTATTTTTTCATTAACATCCAACTGTTCTAGGCCCCAAATTTCTGATCCATACAATAGAATCGGGCTTATTTCTATATCAAATATACACAAAGATAAAAATTAAGCACACTCTAATATATTTCGTTATTGTTTGGTACCAATATTTGTAACATTCATGAAAAATATCATAACGGGAAGAATTATGTTTCCTCAAGATGATGTAATCAGTCATGCGTGACGAAAGCTCACGTGCCATACATTGTATGTCCGTGCAGCATGCTACCCTAGAGTATCTCTAAAAGCAGTATATCCAAACGTTAAAATTGCTTTCTTAAGCTCGGTTTTAAACAGCTATTCCATGACATTGTGTGACCATGACACGAGGGCGATTATCAAACGCCACAAGATGGCAAATAATCGGCCTGCATAACGCAGGAATGGTCGGTCCATTGGTCGGAATTTGGGGTATCATCACACTGTCGTAAGCCGTTTAGTCGAGAAACATGCTCAGACCGGTGATGTTCAGGACCGTCCTAGATCCGGAAGACCTCCTGTGATGACACATCACGAAGACAGGGACCATCTTCGTCTCATACGCCGAGAACCCATTTAACAAGTACTCGTCTGAAACAGCTGTGGTTGCCCAATCGTCGTTTCAGCACCAGAACCGTCAGGAACCGACTGAAAGCAGCAGGACTGAGGGCGAGACGAGTCATAAAGCATCCCTTGTTGAGAGATAACCACAAAGTTGCTCGTTTAGCATGGTGTATTGCGCGACAGAACTGGAATCTGAGAATCCATTGGTCAGACGAAAGTCGCTTTCTGCTCCACGTCACAGATGAAAGAACGAGAGTTTGGAGGCACCTGAAGACGGCCTACACCCCCAGGAACATTAAACCGACTGGTGCATACGGCGAGGGCTCGGTAATGGTTTAGGGGTGTATCTCTCATGATTGCAGGTTGGATTTGGTCACAATAAAGGGCAACTTTACAGGGGCTCAGTACATCCGGGACGTTTTGAGGCCAGTCGTCGTTCCTCATTTTGACAACCACCCTCTTGCTCCTCGACCTCAGTACATGGATGACAATACCAGGCCTCGTCGTTCGCATGCAGTCGTGGATTACATGAGGGCCAATGCAATAACGACTCTACCCTGGCAAGCAATGAGCCCAGATTTGACCTCCCTTGAACATGTTTGGGATATTCTGCGGCTGCGCATACAGGCACGTGATCCTCCTTTCCGCCAATTGGAAGCAGCATTGCATAAGGAGTGGTTGTTGTTGACCCATCAACAGATCGAACGTCTGACTGGAGGCATGAGACGTATGGTGGAATGCGTCATCCGGGCATGTGGAAACATCAAATGTAACTCGTTTACTTAATCCTGCAGCTCCATACGTTTTTTAAGGTACTGTCTGAGGTAAAAAACAGTACCTGTGTTACCATGATGTTTTTGTCAGTAAATTTCAGTCACAACTCACCAACATCTTCTTTATTTGTTGTTAAATGTTTGTCCTATCCGGTGACATTGGTATCGCTCAGCTCCTGTGGTCAGTCATCCCATGCCATGATTTTTGCCATTTGTCATTTTTCAGAAATAGGGGTGTGCTTAACTTTTTTCTTTGTGTATATTTTAAAGTAAACATCATATGTAATATTGTCCAGAGATCTAAGACTTTTAATTACGAGTAGTTACATAAACGTCCATCATGTTCCAGCACCAAAGTACTTCATAGGCAGCTTCTGGCGTAACTTGACCACTGGGCAGTGGGTGTGGACGAACTGCTCCCCACTGACCTATACCAATTGGGATGCTGGTGAACCCCAGGACAACGACGGTCATTGTGTGCTGACCTTCCCAAGCGGTTTCTGGCACGACGTCCAATGTGGTGAAGTCATGCCGTTTATATGTGAAAGATCTCTGTCAACTACAGATGATGGTGACATGTGCGAAGGTAACATTGTACAGATCTTTGTCTCCATGGCAATCGAATTACTCGATGCCTTAATGGGGGTACCGGCTCAGAACAGGTCCCCAGCAACCTGTGGTTGTCATAACTGGCGACTTTAGGTAGTCAGGCTCGGTTATTTGTTCGCTACCGATCGCATGAATCGTGGTCATTATATCATAATACTCAATTGTCCGATCAAGACTCGTCATATAGCTGGAATATTGCTGAAAGTTGCGTAAAACACTTTCAGATACCATTTTATTTTGTATGAGCAAAAAATATATTCATGTCCCATCAGGTATGTCTTCTTGATACTCATATAATTTATGTGGATTAATGTCTTGTATGTTGTTCTTCGAGAACGCCTCGTGTAATCACTTTTTTCTGAAATATATTTAAGATAGCATTCAAAAAGCTGTCAGGGAGCATCCATTTGATTTGTATCGGGTGGAAGTTTTGTTTAGAACAATCGATTTTACTCCCCAACTATATCCAACATACTATTTATTTACGGAGCACCATAAAATAATCAATTAATTTCCACTATTAACACACAAAAACGAAAAATGTTAATTCAAAGAAACTAATATTATGTAGACCACTGCCAACAAACTATTCATTTGGAGCATATTTCTGAAGACACTATTCATTTAAAGATTATCTTACATCCTCCACCCCACCCCCATATAGAAATCAAATGGATGTTCCCAACATAATGAATTTCATAATTCTCTTCAGAAATGTCATCATTATTTTCGTCTTCGATGCTGATAACGACATCACTGCTGCAGTCATCATCTTCGTCGGTACTTGTCTCCGAACCGTCTCCAACCCTCCAAGCTACTCTTTCACCGCACTCAGGCGACAGTAATGTTGTCTCAACTGAGACAGGAGAGTCATCGACATCGGAGATCGACTTGATTTCACCAGTGGGGTTGTCTTTTGGTGACACTCTATCGTCAACATTTTCAACCGATACCCCACTCGTCACCAGTCAGACTACAAGGGCATCGTATGGTGACACAGTGTCATTAACACCTTCAAACGATATGTCATCAACCACCAACACAGACGTCATTCCCAGCAGGAACAGTTCTGAAGTTTCCGAAACATTTGTGGAGTCATCCTTTTACGATAGTGGCAATGCCATCATGCCATCAACCACATTCTCTCTCCTAGAGTCCCACGAAACTTATGTATCTCATAAAAGTACAGGGTCCCAAGACAATTTGGGACTCAATGAAAGCTCAGGACCCAATTTGAGTTCAGATTCCTCCACATTAGAATCACCAATGTCAAGATGGGATACTGACCCTGTGTCGAGCAGCATAATCTCAAATACTTCTCAAGAAATGCAAGCAGATATTTCATCGGTTAATGGTTCTGAGACAGGTGTGACTGAAAGCTTGGAAACTCAAAGCGTACATCATACGTCCTCTTACACTGGCGAATCACCAGCATTTACAGAAAGCCTCACTTACACCACAACCCTCATCCCAGATTCAAACCGTGAGCGAGTTGTCTATCAGATTTGCAGGTGTTCCTGTATTCCGGAGAACCGACTCGATGACCTCTTGACTCATTCAGTCCACGCAAAAAAGAAGGCGATTAGGGAAAACCTGCTTCTTGATAAAAGAAACTTGACGAAGACCATCATAAAATACACCAGTGCTACCGATGATCGAACCTCATCCACCAGCATCGGTGCTTCTGGGTTGGTGTTGATTGTTTTCACAGTTCTGCTAATACTTTCTTCCGATGTTCTTACTTTCTTTCAAAACAGACCATATGAAAGACAAAAGCATCAAGAGTAGAGATGCCATTTTTTGGTATGTACTCGTTCAGGTTGCGTGTTTGATAAGTATAATATATATTTTTTGAATATTGACTTACATCGTATTAGGATTTGGAATTACTCAAGTAGCACTGAAAACATAAATTAAAGTCTGATATACAAGTAGTAGTTAATACGTTGCAAGTGAACATATGATACTATATGACATTTAACTGAAACAATGTATACATTTCAAAGATGAATTGTACAATGGATAGAGATTTATTTCACAGTAGAAACATGATTCGAGGCAAACAGGTGTGATTTTCACACAATTAATACAATGTTTTGCCTTTTGTGCCCAGTGGAGTCTGTTTCGGTGGATAATCAATACTGATTATTCTCTAGCGTTGCCGTTTTGAATATAATGTATCTCCTAATTGATATAAATCACCATTGTTGCCTTCTTTTGTATTGTATTATAACGGGAGTCAAGTCAATTGATTTTAACATGTGCATATTAATGTTTTGAATACATTCGCATACACCTATTTGTACTTTATAACACTTTTTTTGTAAATACAGTCTAGTTGTCGTGACAATGAAAACCACCTGAGGATAAGTACATGTATGTTAAACATTCCCGACTAGAAATCTGGCCCTGATAACCAAACACCATCGCGGAACTTTGCAATGTCAGTGACGTAGCCCATCGATTTAAAGCCATCACACACACACGCCTTAAGACAAATGTTCCTGTTTTCGCAATATATACACTCAGTTAATTCTCATGCACTGACGTATATTTAACCTTTTGCACTTTGACATGAATTTACAATCCATCAAAATGCATATTCTCACACTATAAGCGTGACGTCACCTCTTCAGAAAAAAACATAACCTTATGAGTGAGTGAGTTAATATTAACTGTCGCATCGGCACTATTACAGCAAGAACAACTTTTTATATCTCCACTCATGTCATAAATGCAAAATTGTATTTAAAAGCAAATTTGCCAAACATATTTCAGCATAACAATATTTTTTACAGCCCTTGAAAACACGAGCTATAAGTCACGAGCAACAAAAGCTAGGAAAACCTCGCTGGTGATTCGCGATGCCATGACATTCATTATCCACTAACAGGCGCCAATCCACTTTCGTTAACTTTCAAGACTATTTTTTAAATTAAAGTTAGATAGTACCAAATTATGAAAAGTTTCGCAAAAGAAATTGCCTTACCAATGTAACGTATCTGTTACTAAAGTACTCACGGAAATGAAAAAAACCCTGTTTTTTCGATCTCAGATTTTAAATAAATGCAGTTAATATACAAAATGTATAAATATTCAAACAACTCAATTAGTGCTTATTGGGCCTTGGCACAAATACAGCGTATCAAAGGTTTTTATGTCCTTTTACACGTAAAAGTGTCTGAACAAAACAGACTATTGTGAAACTGAGCATAACCAGGTGTTAGTAGATCAAGGTGAATGTCCATGACCTATGACACCTTGACGACAGGTGAAAACAGGTGCTTGAAACCCACGTGCATGTGATTTGTCAGTGGTTAGTGATTTGTGAGTGGCATTGTGGGATAGTGAATCATCGTCAAAATATAAGAACGTAAAAGTAACATATTCCCTTCTCAAACAACAACTTACATGTCATTATTATTATGTACATAAACATAGCTGTTATTTTTATTGTTGTTTTGATAACTTTTTCCAGGCTAATTTGCATAATGCCTATAGCCTGATTCTGCCCTGGGTTTTATTTTTGAATGTTGAAAGTGCCTACAAATAACCTCCTGTAAAGTACATTTTGTATTGAGCACTGAGATAATACTAGCAAATCCAGACTAGTACTTTTCCAGTTGTTTTGTTATTTCGTATTTACATCTACATGTACGTAATGCTTTGTGTCGATTATTAAATCCAGTAAAACAGGGTTTTTTTCATTTCCATGAGTACTTTATTTGGATTCCTTGTTACCAACTAAACTATTCAAACACTAAATGTTGTCAACGAACAGAACAAATAGTATTTTTCATTACCACAAATTTGTTATGTGTCTTTTTTTGCTTAGGACTAAGGTGTGATAGCGTATCTGTTCCAAAAACCGTTGTCACCGGGTCGTAAAACCAGTCAAATCACGGACTAGTTACTTCACCGCTTCTCTCTTAATTGTCCGGCTTCCGTCACCACTCGTCAAAGTCCGGCGGTCATCGTTGTCCAGTAGCTTTACAAATTGTTTTCGTAACTTTGATTTGGACGTAGAAGCGCGATTTCCTTGTATTTGCCCCAATGGTTGTACATATCTGGTTGTAAATATGTAGCGGTACCGTTGGATAACTTATGTTCAGCTTTATTTTTTTGTACTTACACCTTCAGTATTGGTTTGGTAGTGTTTGCTATTCCTGTTTTCCCTAGGTAAGGTTGTATTTATTTATTTGTTTGTTGTTTAACGCCGCACTCAGCAATATACCAGCTTTATGACGGCGCTCTGTAAATAATCGAGTCTGGATCAGACAATCCAGTGATTGACATCATGAACATCGATTCACGCAATTGGGATCGATGACATGCATCAACCAAGTCAGCGAGTCTGACTACCCGATACAAACTACACAACATGTTTTTATAACTGTAACGCATCTATTCACATGTGCTGTCAATGTTTATCTTATTAAAGCAAAAGATCATGTTGACGGATTCAGTCGGAGAGCCCGTAAATATCGAGGTTGCATGATAAGAAAACACATTCCGAATGGCACTTTCTTTATCAGGTAAGCGACGCCCTGATTGGGTGGATGAAAGGTCATTCTGACGTGACCCGCAATGGCATGTCCTCAGATCATTGTTTAGCAGTAGCGAGAACTACGATCTGATATTAATGAGATTGACTATAGTTATCACTGCTTTTCAGCTTACTGAAGAAAAATGGAAATTTACCAGAACAAGATAACATAAAAGAAACAATTATGTACAGAATAACATACGTAATACAAAGAATTAAAGTTATGTAACCTATCTTTTCTCTCTGTTCATTTATATTTCCCATTCTTTTCTTTCTTTCTGTTCTGTTCATCTTAAATACAATGTTTAGAATATTTACATTGTGTAAATATCTAGGAGATGGTGTCCTAAGTTGAAGCACTTGTACCCAATCCAATTCATTTCCTTTGTGAATAAAATATGTTTAAACCGAAGAAACAGGTATTTGTGTATTCAATAAATAAAAGCGATTAACTCGTTTTCATAGACACAAAAAATCTCTGCTAAAATGAGAGTCTATTGTATGATTCCTAGCATGTGTTTATGAATCAATATCACATAGTCATGATACCAGGTGTTCGCAGACCCGTGAAGATTCCGGGGTAGAATAGGTCTTCAGCAACCCATGCTTGCCGTAAAAGGCGATTATGCTTGTTGTAAAAGGCGATCGGGTGGTCAGGCTCGCTGACTTGGTTGATACATGTCATCGATCCCAATTGCGTGGATCGATGCTCATGATATCAATCACTGGATTGTCTGGTCCAGACTCAAAATTTACAGACCACCGTCATATAGCTGGAAGATTGCTGAGTGCGGCGTTAAACAACAAACCAACCAACCAAACCACTGTGACCAGCTATGGCGGTGTCTGGCAGCCATATCTACACTACACTACCCTACCTCTTCACGGGTATATATACCGTTGTCACTTTATCAAGGCGCACATAGTCATGATACCAGGTGTTCGCCAAAAGGTGGGCATTGCCTGCCCCATCGGTGGCAACCGTCACAAACACATACAAAGGCAAGTCAACTGTCCACCTGAAAAGTAATGCAAGTCCAAGACGTTAACCACATTGGTGAAACCTACGACCACAAGAATCATAGCAGTGAGTGATTCATTTAATCGTTCACGTCATGTGTTGACCGTCGCCGTAGCTAGGCACCAATGTCCCCAGTGAGATGCAGTGATATGTAAATAAACAAAATCGATTTCGACATATACCTTCACAAAGTATTATTCTCTGATCAAGTAGCACTGACAATGTTGAAATCAGGCCGTGAACATTGCAAGCGTATTAGTGTGTCTAGGATGAGATGGCACATTGATACGGGGGAAGAGTCGGGTCGTGTGTATGTGTGTGTGTGTGTGGGGGGGGGGGGGGGGGGGGGGGGAATTGAGAATTAGCATCGATGTCTTGTGCATTTTATGAGGTTTCTGAAGGTAGAATAGTTTCAGACCCGTGAAGATTCCGGGGTAGAATAGGTCTTCAGCAACTCATGCTTGCCGTAAAAGGTGACTATGCTTGTCGTAAAAGGCGACTAACGGGATCGGGTGGTCAGGCTCGCTGACTTGGTTGATGCATGTCAACAATCCCAATTGCGTGGATCGATGCTCATGATATTAATCACTGGATTGTCTGGTCCAGACTCGATTATTTACAGACCGCCGTCATATAAATGTAGCCCTAATAGTTTTCGTTTGTTGCCTTTTCGGGACACACGGTGGAAACCCGTATCAATGTACCACGGCATGCAGGTTACGTGGTAATACCGTGTTGACAACAAATGCATGCGCAGCAGGATGTTGCCGTGCAAGTTATTGATTAACAGAAGTCAGATCGTTCATGCAGTGAGATTATTATCTTATATTATTTTCATCGAATATCATCAATATGACGTGCAGCCATTGCTAGGGAACGACGGGACACAATCACATGGAGTATCATTTGTAATGTGAATTTTCAAACTCGATGACACTATAATGTTTGGCGTTTAACACGGAGGATAAATGTTAGAATATTTATCGACCAACATGTATATTTCCATCTCAGTGCAACTGATTACTTTGAATATTTCCACAATGAATCGTTGCTTGTTTAATCGAAATGATTGTTTTTACATATGATGAATTACATATTGGGGAAATGAAGTGATGTATTTTGTTGATTTTTGCTATCATTGATGATGGAATACAAGGGTATGTAAGTACATGTAGTATATAAAAGCGACAAAATCCTTTCCATATTCATCAGAAATCTCTGCTATAAGCAGTCGATTGTACGATTCCAACTATATAATGACTGTGGTAATTAATCACTATCAAAGACTGATGATATCAGGTGTTCGCGAAAAGGTGTGTCCTGCCCCACCGATGGCACCCTGTGACTCACTGTATGTTTTTTACCCAAATGTTTGTTTGTTTGTTTGTTTGTTGTTTAAACGCCGCACTCAGCAATATTCCAGCTATATGACGGCGGTCTGGAAATAATCGAGTCTGGACCAGACAGTCCAGTGATTGACATCATGAGCATCGATCCACGCAATTGGGATATGATGACATGCATCATCAAGCAAGTCAGCGAGCCTGACCACCCGATCCCGTTAGTCGCCTCTTACGACAAGCATGGGTTTTTGAAGACCGTTTCTACCCCGGGTCTTCACCCAAATGAGATGGAAGTGTCATCAAATTATTTCTTCATAAGTCAGATGAGGTTCACAGCCCTACGGCTCTATTTATTAATTTAATATTTTGAAAGATGATAATGAACAATATTACATCAGTCAGTTTGTAAATGGGGATGAAACGATGATTGAAAATTGTAATGTAGAGAGGTTCCACTCTACTGGCAGCAAACAATGAATCAAATTATTTGGTAAAATATTAATCCATAACAGGCATGGGAAAACAATAATACCGCCCCGAAGCGAAATGTTTTGACGTAGATTTAGTGTCTGTGTTAAACTGTTGGTAAATTGCGAATTATCGATTCTGATATATTGTTCACAATGATTCCTTTTGTCGCGTGTTTACATGATTTAATTTGCCGATTTATTTCTTTACCGAGAGCTTCAGGCAATGTGAAATATTCTTATTAAAGACACGTTTTCGTCACTGTTATTTTCTAAACAATCGACACTGCTTTGTTATAACACAAGAATATTAGTTTGGACTGAGCACACTTCTGAGCGGGAGCAATATCAAAGAAAAGCTATTGATTAGTCACTGTTAATATTGTTGATTTACATGTTATTATAGCCTCCGTATCCGGCCCGTGAAGACGCCGGGGTGGAATAGGTCTTCAGCAACCCATACTTGCCGTAAAAGGTGACTCTGATTGTCGTAAAAGGCGACTAACGGGGTCGGGTGGTCAGGCTCGCTGACTTGGTTGATTCATGTCATCGATCCCAATTGCGTGGATCGATGCTCATGATATTAATCACTGGATTGTCTGGTCCAGACTCGATTATTTACAGACTGCCGTCATATAGCTGGAATAGTGCTGAGTGCGGCGTTAAACAACAAACCAACCAACAACCAACGTTGATTGGGTGGTTGGCCAAACAAACA